AGAGATGACATTTACTCATATGTCTATTACATTGTGTCTATTATATTTAACTCATATGTCTATTTAACTCATATTTAACTCATATGTCTATTATATGTCTATTATATGTGAAAAAAATCGTACACACACTCTACAAAACTAAACTATAGAGTAAGCTATGGAGCAGGAAATGAATGGTATTTACTATCAATATGTTGTAGGCAAACAACAAGGCAAAACCACAATCACAACAAACAAAACCCAATCACAACAAACACTGTATCTGCGATAATATAGTTAATATGGAATGCGAAAGAATCTGCATAAACTAGCGACTCTGACCATCAGACATGCAAACTCCAACACATATGCATTCCCCTACCACTATAGAAAAAAGTAATGCTACACAAAATTCCTATATCGAATTAACTAAAATAATTATTAGAAGATAGTCACATCTTTATTCATACAAAACTATTCTAGAAATTAGAATCAAAGCAAGCATAGAACAATTTATTCATACAAAACTATACTAGAAATTGACATACCTAGAACGGAGGCGGAGGTCCTGATGAACGGAGGCGGAGGTACTGATGAACGGAGGCGGAGGTACTGATGAACGCGGGCGGAGGTCCTGATGAACGCAGGCGGAGGTCCTGATGAACGCAGGAGGAGGTACTGATGAACGGAGGCGGATGAAATGATGAACGGAGGCGGAGGTCCTGATGAAGAAGTCCTGAACAAGATTTCGTAGATGCTAACGGCAACGGCGGCAGAGCTCTGGTTTAGGGCTTTGAAGATTTCGTGAAGAACAATAGAAAAGTGATGATACGAATTTTTGATTTTTATTATAAAACTACCTACGAAAGCGCTTTTAAAAGCGCTTTCTAAAGGTCACCTATGACAGCGCTTTTTAATGTAAAAGCGCTTTCGTAGCATATCCTATAGCAGCGCTTCTAAAAGCGCTTTCTAAAGGCCAGCTTTAGCAGCGCTTTGTAAAAGCGCTTTCTAAGGCTAACCTTTAGCAGCGCTTTTTGAAAGCGCTTTCTTAAGGTACCCTCTGAAAGACACCCTTTAGCAGCGCTTCTCAAAAAGCGCTTTCTAAGGGTGACCTTTAGCAGCGCTTTTGAAAAGCGCTTTCTTAAGGCACCCTTTGAAAGCGCTTTTTTTAAGCGAATTTTTTTTAAAACCTACAGCAGCGCTTTTACCTAAAAACGCTTTCGTATGTGTGCTGCTAAAACTTATTTTTGGCGTAGTGATTATATTTTTCTTTGACATCAAGCCATTATACCCGTCTTCTTCCTTCTCAAACATTACCAAATGATCACTACATTTCATACTTGTGCATTTATGGCTCCTTATCCTGCTATGAGGGAACCCCTGGTTAGAACATGTTAATAAGTCCAGTAACCAATCTTTAAGGGAAGCAGGAATACCATTGAGGATTTCAGACAAATTAATGGTCCTAACCTCCTTGAACCAAGAAATAAGAATCATAGAAGCAACCTAATTACACCAGTCCAACAACCAATCTAGTTGAACAACAATAAAGTATTGAAGTCCACCCTACACACCAAAATTGTTAACTTTTCATGATGCAAATAATGGTTTTTTAGGAAGCTAGTTTCTAAAAACTATTTTCTAAAACTCTTTTTAGTTTTCCAGTTTTTAATCTAAAAAACTAAAACAACTCTGATATGTTTTGCTTTTCACTGAAAATTATTTGTATTTAAACAAATTAACTGAAAATATTTACTTATTAAATTATTGTATTTAAACAATTATTTGTATTTAAACTATATGTTCATAGGGGTACAAATAAAAAATTTAAAAACCCTTGAAAAATCAGAAAAGCCCAACAACCGATATATAAAAATATTCTAACCCTAGTTTCTTATGCATACAAGAGCCGATTTTCACTGTTTTTTCTCTTACGATTTTCCGTTTGAAACAGTAAGTGTCTCTTTCAATTTACACTTTCTCTGTTTAAAACAATAAGTCTCTCTAATAAAAATATTCTCTTTTTTTAAGTAGTTAATCATTTTCTTTCCTCTTTTTCAGTGAAGAAGACAGCTGCATCAATTCTCCGACGGACAGATGAGCGTGATACGTTTAGTCGGTGTTACACATTCACGCCCAGAATCCATTTCCGATGTGGTGGAAATAATGGACCAGACAAAACCTAATTGCGTTTTTCTTGAAATTGGTGAACCCGCCTCTTCACATTTAAGGTATATTAAAACCTTCAATCATAATCCTAATAGATAATTGATTATTTACATACTCCTTTAGATTACTTAAATGTTTAATTTACATTTGTTAGAAATAAAAATTAGACAATAATAGTTAGTATTATTGTTTTAAATTATATTTTATTTCAAGTATTATTTTATTTCTCAATTAAATTAAACTTAATTATAGTATATTTATATAATTTAAATATAATTAATCAAAAATCTTATATATATATATATATATATATATATATATATATATATATATATATATATATATATATATATATATATATATATATATATATATATATATATATATATATATATATATATATATATATATATATATATATATATATATATATATATATATATATATATATATATATAGATAGAGTAAGATATATATATATATATATATATATATAGATAGAGTAAGATATCCGTGCGTTCGCATAGGTACTGGTGTGTTACGTGCATTTGTTTCTAAAATATAATAATGATAAAAAGAAAGAAAAATAAAATTATATATAATTAAAAGAGTTTATTATTTTTTTAAAAAATATATTTTTATCTATATTTTAATTTTAAATATAATTTTCTATATTTATATTCCTGTATTTAAATATTATTTTTGTTTTAAGATTATTTATAAAAATATTTGAATTAATAAAAAATATATTTCCACTTATAGAAGTTCATTACGTGCATTTGTTTCTAAAATGTAATAATGATAAAAAGAAAGAAAAATAAAATTATATATAATTAAAAGAGTTTTTTTTTTTTAAAGATATTTTTATCTATATTTTAATTTTAAATATAATATTCTATATTTTTAAATATATTTTAAATATATTTAAATATATATTCCTGTATTTAAATATTATTTTTGTTTTAAGATTATTTATAAAAATATTTGAATCAATAAGAAATATATTTCCACTTATAGAAGTTCATTCTAATAAATAATAAAGTATAAGAATGATATTAAATAATTAAAATATTTTTAACAAAATATATTATGATAACAGTCAATTATTTTTTTATCAAGTAAATACTGTCGATCTTTGAATTTATTATAATATATATTATTTTTATTGTACATACTAAAATATATTTGAGTTTATTAGGATAAAACTAGGGGTGTTCGCGGTACGGTTTGGGCGGTTTTGAAGCAAAAAATCATCCGAACTGCAAGAGAAAAAAATACACGGTTCGGTTTGGTTCGATTGGCTTTTAAAAATAAATTCAAACCAAACCAAACTAATGCGGTTTGGATTGGTTCGGTTGGTTCGGTTTTTTACAAAAAAAAATTATTAAGTCATACAAACAAATATAGAGGAAAATATAATTTTGTGTTTAATTGTTCGTACATTACCATAAAAAAATTTATAATTGTCAAAATAAGTTTATAATTTGATACATAAAATTACGTATTATAATTTTATCTAAATCTAAAGAATGATATAAACAAGATTGCATTCGTAAATAAATATTATACAAAGAATACGATAAAATATAATTTGTGGAAATAGTATTTATAAATGAATAATATTTTATTTTTTTATGATTTGTAAATTAAAATGAATATAATACAAGGTATGATAAAATATACACATAGTACATGTTTATTTCTCTAAAGAATTAAAGAAATATATATTGGTTAGTAAGATTTTATAACATAATGCGGTTTTGTTTGGTTTGGTTTGGTTTGTAAAATATAAACCACAAATCGAACCGAACCGCGCGGTTCCGCGAGAAAATGACCCAAACACATCCGAACCAAATGCGGTTTTTTGCGATTTTGGTTTGGTTCGGTTCGGTTTTGCGATTTTCTATTTGGGCCGGTTTGATTTTGAACACCCCTAGATAAAACTACACACTCAAAATATAATGCAAATATCTATATCATTACCACGTCACTTTGCATGTATTAATAGAAAATAAACTTAAAAAAATTAGATTAAATGTCTTACAAAAACTCATCCAAATATTATGTATCCAAATATTATGCATGTAAAAGTCAACTCTCATTCAAAATATGAATTGGATCCAAATAAACTACACAAACTACAAAAGAGATATTAGAAAAGAAATATTAATAATACATGAATTGCTTCTTTACGTTTTTACATTCATTTATTATTTAATAAAAATATGTAGCAGCAAAAATTCAAATAAAGTTGCATGGTCAATTAAATTTAATATATAAATAGATACTGCAGCAAGTAAATAACCAAAAGGATTATAAGCATTAACTCACGTAGTCCTTTGTCTTACAGAGTTTTGATCTCAATTTGCACTAAACTCAGTAATATAGTTGTAAGACAAAGGATGAGATCAAATTGAGGGAGATCAAATTGATAAGCACATCTTATTTCCTTTATCTTATATAATTAAAAGCAAAATCAAATTGAGATCAAACTTATTCATATTGTTAATATAACAAAAATTATCCTCGGTGACAACGATATCGGTATTGAATCTGATAGGTTGGGTTCCCAAGAACATGCCGATACAATTTAGTGCAAGGATGACAGTTTGTGCCTATGAAAGAAAAGAAATGGCCAGTGATCTTTTTGGCCCAAAGTTAACATAATAATAGCAGAAGCATCACATCACAAATGATATCACTTAATTCTTTAAAAGTCCCTACTCAATTAATAACTATGCGTCAAGATAGAGAACACGGATAATAAAAAAGTTCTTCACTTCAGCTTGAGAAATTTGCACTTGGATGATTGATAGATATTATAATAATTTTTCATTCAAACAATATGGTAACTAAGAGGCATGATGAACATCAAAAATCAGGTTTCTCACCTTATAACACAATGATAAACATCCAAAATCAGGAAAAAAAACCAATACAAACTCAACTTATAATGGTGAGAAAATGCTTGAAGATCTTAATTACATCTTTATGATAAGTTGCAGCATGCATACATACATACATACATGTTGTTTGGTTGAACTTGCAATTTCCTTGATTACGTCACTTAACAAATCAAAGGGGTTTTGTTCTCTTGTAACCCAATATAAATAAGCTTTTGATGGTAAACCCTTTGTTAAGTTGCATTCTCTATGACCACTCTATTTTTAAATGCCCAGATGTGTCATTTGTTTCATAGAATACAAGCAGAGCAATTGAACTTTAAGGAAGACACTATCACAGACACATCTAAGAAAAAAATAGTAAAAAAGCAAAAGAAGGTTACATGATCACTTTGTGACATCTGTACATCATTAGTAACATCTCTGAGGCTGCTAATGAAAGGTGTGGCTCTGATGCCAAGACCAATAAGTACCAGAATGTCATACTTTACATGGTTTGGAGAAGCAGAACCATAAGGACCGTCTATGTAAAGTTTTGGACCCCCTTGTAACCCAGACAACACTGCCTGCAGAAGATTGCAGTAACAAATTTGAGACTGCAAAATCTTGAAAGTATATACTTGTGCGTTTTAGAAAAAATGTCATCTTTACCTCTTGGAATAGAGCATATATTTGGTAGCTCCAGTCACCAAGAGTTCTAATGTGCACACTGGGGTACTCATCTTGTGGTCCTGATGTCAAGAAAAATGGATGCCTGAAAATTAGCCAAAAGAAATTCAAAAATAGAACATCAATCTTGATTAATAAGTCTCGTACGCCTTAGAGTAATATTAGATGAAAATGGTGAAATGTTGAGCATTGAATTAATACCATTGAAAGTGCGAAATTTGGGGGCACTGAATGAATATATACATGCCACTTCTGCCGTAAATCCATTCCACCACCTTAATCTTCTAAGAGAATTGATTGGAGAAGATCGACCGTATATGGCGAGATCTATTGCAAAATCGTACGAGAATCATCGAAGGCAGCTCAAAATGAAAAAGCTAGGTAGAAGACTACGATAATGAGATTGTAATACAAATAATAATATTCAAAGGATGCCTTTCACAATGAAGCAAACTCCGTAATCAAATCAGAGAAAATATATTGAGTATCAGGATTGTGAATACCTATAAATAGATGTCGGGGCTTTAGTTTAATGTAAGTGGGAATGCTTTAAAACAGTAACTGTGGGTGTGACCAATACAGTTAAGAGACACCAAAAAAGAATCAAACAAATAGATTATCTATAAGACTTTAAGCAAAAATTACCTAAAACTTCACCTAGATCTTTGCCAGTACAAGCTGCTTGGGCTGGACCACGTCTTCCAACCAAATAAACTACCTTGTAATTGTCTTATATTACCGAAAAACAACATGATGAAAAATATCAAGAATAATACTAGGTTGTTTCAAATAGTGCAATTAAAACCTGATAGAGCTTTCCTCTAAAGCATCCAAAGCATGAATGTCAATATAAGTTGTTGCTAACCCTATAGTATGTCGTAAAAGAATACATGCAAAATTATTAACATGTCGTAACATGTTCTCGTAAGCTCTCTCAAATAGTCTCTTAAGTTCTTATATTAGTATATAAGTTCAAGTGTCTTGTGATTAAGGGCGTACTTAAGGAAAAGTAAAAATGTCTTGTACATAACAGATCCAATTTGTTGAAGTGAGCCATCTGATGTAATGACAGTGAACCTACACCACAAACAATGGCAAAACTTCAAATGTATATTCAATTATTTTTAACTGTGTAAGTTTACTAAATTATGACAGTATGGAACAAATCTCAAGATCACTGGAAAAACCCACGTCACAAATATTCGATATAGCATAGCAGAAACAAAAGAGGCACCGAAAAGAAAATTACTTACAAGTAAGACTCGTGCTTATATGAGTTATTGTTTGAAAATAAACCAACAATTGGTGAAGAGATTTTCAAATTTCTCTTTGTAATTTCTGCCACAACTTCACCATTGAATTTAATAAAATATAGAGTATCATAGTCATCAACAACACCAAGAATTTCATCATCTTCAGACCAAGCTCCCATACTAAATGTACCAAAATCAGAACCTAACAAACACCAATTCAACATCAGAATCAAAAAATTTCAATTTCAAAATTAAAGCAATTATAATCACATCTAGGATTCCTAAGAAGAACTTACCGGTGAAAATTGCATACGATTGCTGATACTCATCCTCTTTACTCAGAATCGTAATTCAATTTCCTGCAGCAACAACAACAACATATTTGGCCGTAGGGGAAACTAACAGTGACATTAATTTTATAAGTCTCTTTGGTTCATTATATTCAGTCAATTTCTCTTTGAGTTGAGTCACACCTTCGTCGCATAAACAATAGATGAATTAGATTCAAATAAACGTTAATCCAGATCATTTAATGTGCATAGAAAACAAATATAAATCATGCTTATACAAACTATACCAGTCCCGTGCTTCACAATAAAAGCCATAACCTCTGGTGTTTCCAACTGTGCTTCCATTATTAGGTCCCCTTCATTTTCTCTATCCTCATCATCTACAACCACTGCCATCTGAAATACTAATATCAGTTAATAACATAAAGCTAAGTGGCAGCAACATAAAACTAAAACTTACAATACAAGAATTCCTTGCATTAACAGTTAAAAGAACACCCAGAGAGAGAGTAATAACCTTTGCATTGATTGTGTTTTTTTGCTCCGAGGATTGTATCTTGTTAAAAACATTAGAATAGATTTGTGTCTCCATGCTTGAAATAAATAAGGACTTTGGATGAGAATGTATTAAGGACTTGAATGAACATTAAAAGGTCAATGTTATCAATTGATCAATAGTTCATTTGTTATGATTTAAAAGGATACAATTATCAAACTCAAAATTCATGTACTGCAAAAGATGACATGTTAACAAACAAATTTAACAATCTATTTCTTAAACATTGACAGTACAACTATGTATTCCTTCGACGTTCTTGTGGATTATCTCGCAGAGATATGAGCAGCATCAAATATAGACTCAAAAATGTTGTGAATTTTTTTAATGGCAACCTTTTCACCGGAATGAGTGTCAATGGCCAAACAGACAACACCGTAACTTCCTTTACCAAATGAGTTCTTGAATTCAGAGAAAATTTTCAATATAGATATAAATCATGTCATGGTCCCAATATAATCATGCTTATTTCCACCGATGTTGCAGTCCCAAGATAATAATTTGAATCATTGATCAAAATTGCAAAAGTAAGCACAGGCACCCACTTTTTTCCGCCCAATTTTATGTTTCAACAACAACAGATCTAACAAATTCAAATCCTCCTGCAATGGTACACTAAACTTAAGGTTCATAATAGAAATTAAATAAGTAAACCCTAATCTGATGGCAACAACACTATAAGCAGCCACTTGAGCCATTTGAAAAAGGCTAAAATTCAAACCCTTGTGTAATACGGTGGGAGAATTGACTTGGGTGTTTTGAGTTTTATCGTAATTATTGCGGATAGCAAGAGTTGCCACCAAATTTTCTTTTATTTAATAAAGGAAACAGGAAAGACCTTTGAGATTATTTTCTTGAGTTCGGGGGTAGATTATGAAAAGGGAATGTGTTAGCATCATTTTCATCCATAGTTATCTATGGGCTCTTAGTTACTTGCTAGATCATTGCTTTTGTTTGAAAGTGTGCTTTGTGGTGGATTTTGAAAGTATTTTTGAAAATTGCCTTCGTTTAGGCAAACTTTGTAATAATTCTCGTCTCTATAAGAATGTATACAAAGTGTTGGATTTTTGAAAATATTTCATGTTTTGAAAGTGTTAGTATGTGTTTGAAAATATGTTTGTTTTAAAATTGAGCAAGAAACTAAGAACATTTCTACCTACTCAAAAGTCTTTTGTTCTTCTCCTCCTCCTTTAGATGTTGCTATCTTACCATTGATTGGTAATAAGCCTTATCTTTAGATGTAAAGGGACGGGCGTGGGTCATTGTATAGTCATGATAGCAATGTTTGTGAGATATATTAGCATTTCTCTTGAGGGACTAAGATCATTTATAAGGCAACATTTGAAGCGTCATCGAGAGACTATGATCTTGTATTTTGGTTGTTTTTGCTAAGACGTCTCATATGCATAACATGACCATTTTCATAAGGCAACAAGTGGAGTTAACCCTAGAGATGAAAGTGTGTAAGTGTTTGTATTTCATGCTTGGTTTATCTTGGATTAGTGTTTTCTAAGATTTATTTTATCTTCCCATACAAATCCTACTTTACTAACATTTATATGAAAACGATAAATTGCGGAAAGTAAATGTTATATGCTATTACAATCATTTGGGAAATGCGGTGTATAAATTTACAAATGGGGTTGCAAGAAATTAAAGTCCTAATTATCTATTACAACCATATTGAAATAATATACAAGAATTGAAATATGAAATAGATTTGATTTGTTTTTGTTAATAGAAGAAATAAATTTGCTTAAGGAAATGTTCTTAGTCTTTTTGTTTTAAAAGAAATAAAGCAAAGTGTATGAATATAAAGTATTTTTGGAGTCTTTGATTAATGAAAATAAAAGTGATGATAAAAATAATAAGAAAATAAGCGTTAGAGTCATCGTGTTGCTAAAAGAATAGAAATAAGAGAGAGCAAAAGTACTGACTCAGACGCGCTGCAAATCAGAAAGAAAATGTTAGCAGAAAAGGGGAAAGTCGGAAGTTCTGGATCCAGACGCACTAAAGTTTTGGGGTTGCTGGGAACAAAGGAAAGCCTAGAAGTTCTGACTGCTGAGAGAGCCTAGAAGTTCTGATGTAGTTGGAAACCTATAAGTTCTAGTGTTACTGAAAAGCTAGAAGTTCTGATAATGGGTAAATGGAGTGTCAATGTTGTTGGATGAGAATATCTAGAAGTTCTGGTCCAGGAGTATTGTTTTGACAAACAAATGGGAGGGGGTTTATCTAGAAGTTTTGGTCCAGGAATATTGTTTGACAAATAATGGGATAAAAATGTCAAGAAATAAACATAAAAAGATGCTTATGGGGTTAGAACCCAGGACCCTTAACACTAATGTCTTATGTGCGCGCTCTCTACCACTGGGATGGCTATACATCTGGTATTAGAAACGAAAACATAAACATATATTACAAAATAAGTTCTGATGATGAACTTCATCTTCTTCTTCGTGCCAGCCAGAGTATCTGCAACTTAGTCATTTCTCAACAAAAATGGAAAATGCAAACATGGAAGTTATGGTAAATTTCATCATGGTTCAGAAATACAAAGCAACAAAACTGTAAATCAGAAGCAAGCATAATTTTTGCTAATCCTCATTCTGAACCCTAACTTATCAAAAAGTTCTGATATGAAATTCTCTCTACTTAGGCCATATAAATGAAATCTATGAATATGTACAAATTCAGAACCATGATATCTACATTGTATCTTTGAAAATGAAAGCCTAACAATGCATAAGTAATGAGATGAAAATCAGAAGAAACTTACCTTGCTGCTGGAGATTTTTATGTGAGTTAGAGCCTGGTTCATACTGCTGTGATCTTCTGGTCAGCTTCCTCAAGTTCTCAGAAAGCTAAGGCAACCCTTAACTTGAGTTATGGCCGATTGGAATGCTCTGGAGCAGTCAAGATACTAAGTTCTAATTTTTGAAATAGAGAATGGTGAAGACTACATTACAGTTTGAAAACAAAAGGTGAGAAGGCTTCTACGTGTATGTTAGAAACTGTATGGATGATTTGGTCAAGAAACACACAAGGAAAATTAGAGTTTGGATGCAAAAATCAGAAACTAGCAGGTTTTGTGTTTATGCAGTTTCAGGTTCTTAGGAATTTTCAGCAAGGTTTAAAGGCTTTTTCCAATATTTTGAATCCTCCTTCAGTTTTCAAATGAATTTTTATTTATAGGCAAAGGATTTATAAGCTTAGAGGAGTTAGGAGTACATCCATCATGTGTTATGGATTGTTGACTTGTTTTTGAAGCAAGTTTAGACAAGCATGTTTCAAGGTAAGGTAGGGTGGTTAGCAGCTTTAATCACGTCTAATATGAGTTTGTAGGCATGATTTGTGGGGAAGTACACTCATAAACAAAGTGAAGTATGAGTTCAAAATAAACTTTGTACAAAAGTTTGCTTTTCAAGAACAACAGTGGTACTTTCATGACACACGTGGGAAGATCTTTTGGATAAAGGCTTAAACGCTGGGATAAAGACTCAAAAGTTGGTGTGAGCATTAAATGATGATGAGATTTAACAAGCAAGAAAGCCTACAACATGAGATTATGCAGCATAGTTTGAAACTGGATCAGGAGTTCAGCATAAACGTAACTTAGATTAAGAACAAATGTCTAACTTCTGATCTTTGATTCTTCCTGCTCCAGCATGACCTGAAGGAGCTCTCAGACTTTTCAGAAAGCTTGTAACATGCTTTGTAACCCCTCTTTAAATCAATTTTGTAAACTCTGATTGAACCTACGTGAAAACTGACCCAGAAGTTCTAACCAAATTTTGACTTGGAAATGCTCAAAATTTACTAAGTATTTTAGTTTCATGAACGTGTCTTCAAAGATTTATAACTTGAAATCCAAGCATTTCTAGGAGAAGTTCTATTCTGCAATGTTTTAGATATCATTGAGATCTACAACTCTTGTATCATAAGTTCTTCCTGAATCATCTTGCATCATGATGAAAATATGGCCAGAAGTTCTGAACTTATCATACTTTCTTAACACTTAGAAAAGTTTCTAAGTGTTTAGAACTTTTGACTTTTCCAAAGTAATTTTGACTTTTGATTTTTTTGGTGAGCCAACTTCATATTCTAACATGTATTAATGAAATGTGATTCTTGAAACTTGATTTTGATTAAAAAGTCAAGGTTTGACTTTTTCAGTGTGCATTTGACCATTTTGCCCTTGTGCTAATTCCAAACTAAATTGATGTATCAATGCTGCAAACTTGAGCCATGGAAGATCTTGTGAGGAAATTCCTGAGAAATGAGAGGGCAAATTTTGGGGTACAACAGCTGCCCCTGTTCAATCTTCTTAAACCTGAAGAGTTAGATTGGCGAGCCCGTCATTCGTGATTTGAAGGTGGAAGGTGATTGAACACCAAAGTGCTCAGAAATTTGCACTCGATGATGTGTTAACTGACTGTGTAGGGAATGGGCTTAAAGATGCCATCCAGAGGGATTGGGGAAGGTATCAGGATAAATCTTTTGGTTGATTTATACTGAAATAGTAGACGTCTTTTGCGTGCTGATTTTTTCTACAAGGAAGAGGATTAGTTGCATGCAGATGTATGCATGGTGTAGTGATGTTCTCAAAGTAAATGATATTATGATGTATGCATTTGTCATGTATGTGGTATGGTTTATTAATGTGATGCATTTATTGCAGCATGTCTTTGTCTAGGAAAATAAATCCTTGACAACATGTTAGGGAACCTTGGGAGGTTGAATCCCGAACCGTTGTTGGAGAGTAAGTGTATCTTCAACTTTGTTTAGAATGTTTTAGTTGGGAATCCCTGTTTTATTATTTGAGGAGAAACCCGCTGGGGAATATTGACTTTGGCTCTTTGCATGAGGAAACTCTGTGGGGAGTGTTAATTTCTGATTGGAGGAATAAAGTTTAAGAACTTTGGTTGTCCATTGCTCTACTGGGGAATTATTCCTGACTGGAGAGCATCGGAAGTTAGTTGTTATCTGGTCGAAATCCAGGCTTGGCAGCAATTTGTTGGGGATAATGAAGTTGACTATTATCTGGTCGTATTCCAGGCTTCGCAGCGACTTACTGGGGAAGATTAAATTAACTTTTATCTGGTCGGATTCCAGGCTTCACAGAAAATTACTTGGGAGAGTGAAGTTAAACGGTTATCTGGTCGGATTCCAGGCTTCGCAGTAACTTACCAACTTTAAATTGTTATCTGGTCAGATTCTAGGCTTCAAAGCTGATATTTGAAAAGGTGAAGTTGAACTGATATCTGGTCGGGTCCAGGCTTCACAGTAACTTGCTTGAATGAATAAAGTTGAACTGATATCTAGTCGAGTCCAGGCTTTACAATAACTCGCTTGAAAGGATGAAGTTGAATTGATATCTGGTCGGGTCCAGGCTTTACAGTAACTTCTTTGAAAGGATGAAGTTGAACTGATATCTGGTCGGGTCCAGGCTTTACAGTAACTTGCTTGAAAGGATGAAGTTGAACTGATATCTGGTCGGGTCCAGGCTTCACAATAACTTGCTTGGGGTAGAGGCAAACTCTACTGGGGAAAAGAAGTTAAACCATTGTCTAGTTGAATTCCAGTCTTTACAATATCTCGAAAAATTAAACTATTATTTGGTCGGGTCTAGGCTTCATAGTAACTGAAAACTGTTTGAATAAGAATGATTCCATTGCGGAATGTATTTTTTGTTAAGGAATAAACCCTATTGAAGAGAATACTTGATGACCTGCTGGCAAGGTGAATTCTTTAGGAAGAAATCCACAAGGCTTCTTCTTTTAAGACCAACTCAGCTGGGGAGAGGGTTGTCGAGAGATTGAAACTCTGACCGAGGTTTGCATAAATCCAAACTTTGTGGATAACTCTGTTAGGGCAAAGGTTATTCTAACAAGCTCTGTGGAAGAATGCTAATGAGATAACTCTGTGGGGATATCTCAACTGCATTAAAGAGATGCTCGTTGCTGCTTGGCAGCTCATATTTGCTAAATAGCTTAATCATGTTCATATGTATATGTTCATTCAATTTTAGTCATTGTACGTTTTTGCATTCAAAGCAAAAAACAAAAAGTTTACACTTCAAAGTATATTTGTATTGATGTTTTGCCCATGAATAGGCATTTTTGTACAAAGAGACGGAGATCCTAGTAAGAGGAAATTGTCGAAAGGATAACAAAATTGAAAATAAAACAAAATCCATGTGGAAATGATCTCATTGTGTTCCAACTCTACTATTTCCCCAATATCTTCGAACGTCCCTTGCCATTGACAGAAGTTTATTGGATTGATCTTGGACCGTTTGAACTTGGACCTTGGTAATAAAGTCGATTATGGTGATTCCACGGGACACAGTCATACACTTTCAATCCTTAATTTTTTTCCTGGACCTCCCTTTTGGGTTTTCAGCCCACCAGGATATCCATTTTTTCCCAAGTCTCCCTTTCGGGTTTTCGACTTGCCGGGTGTACAATCTTTTGCATATATCCCTAATTTTTGCCCAAACATTTGGTTTACCGGGATGCCCTTATCTTGCCTAGGTGTGTCAACCTAGCGGGTCTCTTATGCGTAGTATTTTTTAACTATGTCTGCATTCACAGGATGTAGAAAATCTTCATCGTCCATAGTAGTCAGCATCATGGCACCACCAGAGAAAACTTTCTTGACAACAAATGGCCCTTCGTAAGTGAGTCCATTTGCCCCTGGGATCGCCTTGTGGAAGAATGATGCGCTTTATTACCAAGTCACAATCTTGATATAATCGAGGCCTGATCTTTTTGTTGAAAGCCTTGATCATACGTTTTTGGTACATCTAACCGTGACAAACAACAGCCAGTCGCTTTTCATCGATCAAGTTCAACTGATTCAATCTTGTATGAATCCATTCGTCTTCACCTAAGCCTGCTTCATTCATAATCCTTAGGGAGGGAATTTAAACCTCCACCGGCAGACAGCCTCCATGCCATAGACAAAAAAAAAGGGAGTTGCCCCGATCGATGTCCAAGCTGAAGTACGGTAGCCATGAAGAGCGAATGGTAACATCTCATGCCAGTCTTTATATATTACTACCATCTTTTGCATAATATTCTTAATGTTTTTGTTGGTTGCTTCCACTGCGCCATTCATTTTAGGTCTATAAGGAGAAGAATTGTGATGCTTGATTTTGAACTGAGTGTAAAGCTCTGTAATCATAGCATTGTTGAGATTGGTTCCATTGTCAGTGATGATCCTTTCGGGGATACTATAGCGGCAGATGAGGTTATGCTTGATGAATCTGGCTACAATGTTCTTTGTGACTGAGGCAGATGAGGCAACTTTGACCCATTTGGTGAAATAATCGATAGCGACCAGAATGAAGTGATGTCCATTGGAAGTAGTATGTTTAATCTCTCCAATCATGTCAATGCCCCACATTTCAAACAGCCACGGAGCAGTCATGACGTTTAGAGGAATAAGAGGCACATGGACCTTGTCAGCATATATTTGGCACTTGTGGTAAGTCCTTGAGTGATGATGAGAATCAGTCTCCATTGTTGACTAATAGTAACAAACTCTCAGGATTTTCTTGGTCACAGTATGCCCGCTAGAGTGAGTCCCAAAGAGACCATCATGCATATCTTCCATAATTTTCTCTGCCTCCTTCTTGCCCATACGTCGGAGTAGAGTAGAATCATGGTTGCGTTTGTACAGGATTCCATTGCTTAGGAAGAATTTGGATGAGAATCTTCGTAAGAACCTTTTATCATTGATGGAAGCTCCTTCATGATATTCTTGTGCTTCAAGGTATATATTCACCTCATGGTACCATGGCTTCTCGGCGTTAGTGTCAAGCTCATAGCAGTGCGCAGGTTCGTTAAATATCTCAGTTGTAATCATAGGAGCTTCGTTTTCCCATTTGACTTTGAACATAGAAGACATCGTGGCCAAAGCATCGGCTAACTGATTTTCTTCTCTAGGGAAGTGTTCAAAGGTGATTTCTTTGAAGTATGGAATCAGAGATAACACAAGCTCCTCGTAAGGAATAAGATTAGGATGTTTAGTATCCCACTTTCCCTTTACTTGGATAATCACCAGAGCGGAATCTCTGAATACCTTCAAATGCTTGACCCTTAAGTCAATGGCAGCCTTCAGACCCAAAATGCATGCCTCATTGTTGTACCCCAATTTTTTACCTAAGATCCCATTTTTATTTTTTGCATTTTTAAAGATAAGTCAAGGTCACGAAATACAGTCGGTTTTAATCTCTCACCTTCAAGCATTGACTATGCGAAGATTGTCAAGTGTTTTGAACATTTTTAGCATATGTATCACTAATTTCTAATCGCATACAAAGGTGTATGTTCATGTTTTCTTTTGTGTCATGTGCAGAGACAGGTCTGAATCAAGAGCATCAGGTGCCGCGCCTCAATTAAGGTTTTGAGTCTCCCAAGCCAAAAGTACGGTTGATTATGGATTCTCGAAGACTGATTCATCAAGGCACAACTGTTGCACCCTTAATTTCGCCCCTAATTTTCTTAGTCGCACTTTCATATCATATTTTGTTATTTGGTCATAATCATTAGTAAATATCTTCATTCATCACATTTTGCATCATTAGTCGTATTTAAGTTGACCAGAAAAAGTCAGTTTAAATCAAAGTTTGCATCGTCTTTCAGTTGTAAAAGTACCCGACATTTCACTTCATTCATTTTTATTTGTTTGCTATTTTCTTGCATTGCTCCAAGTTGTTTATATGTCGATAATAAAATATTTCGGTTTTATAGACAGACTATTAAAAGCGATTCGACACTATGCGGGAAAGTAGCGAGAAAATATTTCAAGTTTTCACCTTTTACCGATCATTTTATGAATCTGCGCTTCGCGTAGATTATGACGGTATGCTCGCTTTATTTTTTCGGTACAGTTCGAAGTCTCGTTTTTAACCTTAAACGTCTGTTTAGTCTGATATTTTTATTATTATTTTATTTTTGATTTTTGACTTCTTGAATATTTTTTTCTTTAATCTTTATGACATGTAGATTATTTTAATGTGTTCATTTTATTTTTTCGGATAAATTTTCGTCCGTTTTTTATCATTTTGGGTCTTTATTTTTATTCATAAAATATTAAAAAAAATCATTTTAAATTGAGTTATTTTTTATAATTTCAGGTTTTTTTTTTATTTTTGTTATTCAGGGGCTTTTTGGTCATAAAAATATTGATTATACTTTGCTTTTTTCCTATTGGTTGTTGTCAATAGTTGCGGATAGATACAGAAATTTGCCAAACGAAATTGCAAATCAGATCATTCTTCTCTCTCTTCATTTTCCTATTTAAAGGGCCCATATTCTCTTTGTAAAAAAAGGACACAAAAAACAAATAACAATACAAAAGCATAACAGTAATCTAACTTCCTCTTCTCTCCGCACATAGCAACCCCTTTCTCTCACCACCACCTTTTATCTTCACTGTTAACCCATCTCAAATCATCATTTTTCCACCCCCATCATCTCCCTCTCTCTGCGAATACATCATCTTCACTGAACCACAACAGCATCTTCTTTGCTGTCATCAATCACTCGCAATTATCATTCCCTTCAATATTACCGAACATCACCACACAACCCACCTTCAATTTATCATCCATCATCTCTTCTACCCATATTACCGTAACCCCTCTCTTCCACTGCTAACCAACATCACCAACAATAACCTCTCCTCTCTTCTTCTTACTTTCTCTCACTCTCTCTCTTCCTTTACCAAAGCAAAACAAATCCTTAATATAACAAGAAACATTCTCCAATGGCATCATCCCCAGTTTGTCAGCTATTATCATTAACCATTGTTATCATGCTAACAATGAACGTGAAGGGTCAAGGAGGGAGTACTGGTAGTAGTACAAGTTGGTGTGTGGTGAGAAGTGATGCAAGCTACAATGTACTACAAACATCATTAGATTATGCATGTGGAGCAGGTGCTGATTGTCTTCCTCTTCAACCAGATGGACTGTGTTTTCTTCCTAACACCATTCAAGCTCATGCTTCTTATGCATTCAATAGTTACTATCAAAAAAGAGCTAGAGCACCTGGTTCTTGTGACTTTTCTGGAACCGCCACCATTGCTCAAACAGATCCAAGTTATGGATCTTGTGTGTACCCTTCTTCTACAAGTGGTGCTGGAGGATCAAATACACCAACCACATCATCAACTTCAACGACAAACTCAAACATGTCATTAACTACAATTTCATCACCAACCTTTGGTGGTTTATCTCCAGAAATGAACGCTCCATTTAATGACAATTCCAAAGCCTCGCCGTCAATCTCCATCACTGAGACGCACCGGCGACTACCGCACAGCAGCCCAACGGCGGAACCTTACAACTTCCGTTGTCTGCCTCTCGTTCTCCCCCGACTGCGCATCACGGCGTCACAACTGCACAACCCATCACCAGATCGCGAGACCCACCGCTTCATCTCCGCCAGAACACCACCGATCTGTCCACCTGCATCACGACCACTACCGGTTGCACAATAAATCGGACCCGCCTCCACGTTGAAGGTTCAGATTTCCTTTTGCTTCTTTTACTGTTCTTTTTCACAATTTATTGCTTATCGCATTTGATTTTGAAAAAGTGAAAAGATGTGTTTGAAAAACTTGAGAAAAAACTTGGAGAAGAAGGGATTTGTTTGTATGGTTGTGCCATCTTTCTACTGATATGTGAGTATATGTTATTTATTTATTTTTTTAATCTATTAAAAATGACGTGTGTACATATCTCGCTGGTTTGAAAAGTCTTACTATATTTCCTCTTTGTTTCTTTTATCATTAAAAGAGTGCGTATATGTACTGATAGAAATATGTTGTTAGAAACATAAGTCCCCACACAAATGCCCTTCTATTTTCTTGTTTTATTTTAATGTATTCTCTTGTTAATATTTTAAAAAAATATATATATAAAAAATATTAGTAAATCTTATAATTAATTTAGTTTAATATTAATTTAGAATTCTTTAATTAGTTTAGATTTATTTTATAACTTTAGAATTTTATTTCATTTAGTAAATATTAGAATTTTATTTGTGTTAGTTTAGTTTAATAACTTTAGAATTTTATTTGATTTTATTTAAGTTAATTTTAGAATTTTATTTGTTTTAGTTTAGTTTAATAACTTTAGAATTTTATTTGATTTTATTTAAGTTAACTTTAGAATTTTATTTGTTTAGTTTTAGTTTAATAACTTTAGAATTTTATTTGATTTTATTTAAGTTAACTTTAGAATTTTATTTGTTTAGTTTTAGTTTAGCGACTTTAGAATTTTATTTGATTTTATTTAGTTAACTTTAGAATTTTATTTGTTTAGTTTTAGTTTAGTGACTTTAGAATTTTTATTTGATTTAGAATTAGTTTAATAAATTTATAATTTTTATTTGATTTAGAATTAGTTTAATAAGTTTATAATTTTTATTTAGTTTAATAACTTTAGAGTTCTTATTTGATTTAAATTTAGTTTAGTAGTTTTTTTAGAATTTTATTTGATTTAGATTTAGTTTAATAACTTTAGAGTTTTTTATTTGATTTAGATTTAGTTTAATAACTTTAGAGTTTTTATTTGATTTAAATTTAGTTTAGTAGTTTTTTAGAATTTTATTTGATTTAGATTTAGTTTAGTAACTTTGGAATTTTCATTTGTTTTAGATTTAATTTAATAACCTTAGGATTTTAATTTAATCTAGATTTGACTTACTAAATTTTAAAACTTTAGTTTAGTTTAGATCAAATTCAATAATACTAGATTTTTTTTTATAACCTTAAAATTTGTAATTAGTTTAGAATTATTTTAGTAAGTAATTTTTAATTTAGTTCGAATAACTTCTTTAGATAATTAGTTATATTCCTTTTTATTTGTATATTTGTCATTTCAATTTCTCGGTGCCTCTTGATCATTAATTTGTTTTTGTCAGATTTATTTTCTCGTGAACTTCTGAATGTTTATATTTTGATGTTCATTTTATTTTGCTTACTCCAAGGAAAAGATTTAAATTTGTTGACTTCACGTCATCAAATACATCTCATCCGATCGTGCGAATACCCTTTTTCATCTTTTGTTTGTTTACTATTTTGTTAAACCTAAGATAATTTTCCCAAAAGATTCAATTTTTAAACTCACACCTCTTAAGTCAAAACTTCGACATTAGGTCGCTGTCTCTTCAAAATCTCATCCGCACCCATCTTTAGCCAAACAAACTATTTTAATCAAACAAACAATTTTAAAAACAGATATTTCAAAAGGTTCCTGCGGAGTACCGCAGATGCATTGGGTGCTAATACCTTCCCATTGTATAACCAACCCCCAAACTCTCGATCTCTTTTAAAACGCATCGTATTTTCATTACTTTTTAAATATTACTTTACATTGCATATTTTAGGGTTTTATTTCGCTCTTTTCCCTTTTCCCTTGGAAATAATAAAGCGCGGTGGTGACTCTTGCTTTTTGTGAGTCAAGTTAATTAATAGCTTGATTTCCGATTTTCACTGCTACAGAATTGGAGACTCTGCTGGGGAAAGATTGACCTCTTGCTGGTCCATCCCTAAGTGGGTTAAGCCTAATTTGTTTTATTTGTTTTATCATTATTTGATTGTTTGATTATATGTATATATTAGGATTATTTGGGTGTTGATAATATTTACAAAGGACAAGTCCTATACCCGGACTAAGTTACACTTAGGAATAGGACGGGCGGTATAGTCATGTTAACTTTGAGGGAGTAATCCCGAAGAAGGAGGCATGAGATCCCCCACTCAGTGGAAGGCCCTTTTGAACGTAATATTTGTTTACCGAGTAATCGGGAAGACATTATGATTTTCGACCTGGGAGCCAAAGAAGCTGAGAACCGTAGAACCCTTAACCCACCTTGGCCTTTTAGGTGTAGCGCGGAGATTATAACGGAGTAATCCGGAAGTAGTTGTCACGCGATGCCACGCTCGGATGAGTTTCTCTTGAGAATATTTTCTGATTATTGAGTAATAAAGACGTCGGTAATATCCGAAGGAGGAATGTAGACTCCGGGAACTCTTAGAACCTTGTTCTACAGGTGTGATTAAACTGTTAGTACATACCTTGCGGGTGTTCCTTACCTTGACTCCACGCTCGTGACGTTGAACCTTTCGACTTTATTTGTGACCTTGCTTGTGGTTGTTGCATAGCCATGCATTCATGCATCCATAAAACCCTTTTCACTTGACTTTGAAGGAATTTGGAGGTCTTTCTTTGTAAACATCACAAGTTTCGTCAAGCTCAATGGATCTTGGGTGTTGATCGGGCGAAAACCCTAATCCACCAAAATGGATGATTGATCTTGATGATAACTTGATCAATGTTTTGAGCCAATTTAAAATTCATCTTTTGTCTTCATACTTTGATGTTTACAACTTAATATCTTGAGTTCCTTGAAAATCAAATAAAAACTCTCTTTTGCATATCATACATCATTCTACATTTTTTGTTTCACTTTCAAAGGTCTTTTTCCGAGTCTTATTTTTCCTTTGGTCTCACCAGTACAACACTCGCGCTAAGAGAACAATGGAGAATATTAAGCAAGAGGTTTCTGAACTCCGTAGAGAGATGACTATTTTGAAAGCTAGTATGGAGCACTTAACTGGTTTGGTTGAAATTCTGGTTGCCGCCCAAGTCAATCCTTCTAAGAAGGAGGAAGCGAGGATAAAAGTATTCACTGATTGTCATTCAAGGATGTTGGTTTTGAAGTTCAAATCAAGCACGTGCCGGAGAGTAAACACGATTGATGGTCACTTTGAGTTTTGAAGGATGTTTTCGGTGATTCAAGTCCAGATGGAAAGCCTTCCCAGATTATTAACTTATTTATGCTTTTTGTAAATTTTCTTGTTTATCAAAACATTGTTTGCATGTAAGAACTTGTTTGCATCTGAATGATTATCTTAATACAATGAATATGTTTGTCTTGAAGAAATTCATTCGTTTCACTCATATTTGTTTTCAAATTTTAAATTGCTTTTGCACTATGATACCAAATTGTTGCTCATTCTCTTGCCTAGGCAGAGATTGAAGGGAGGATGATGATCTAAAGAACACAAAATCTCTAGTTGCATGCTTTTGGATAAAATCTTGCTGATGATGTACATGCATTGTTTCAAATCCCTAAACATTGGAGATATAAGGAAGATAATCCCTTGCTAACCCCTTTTGAGCCTTTGAAGCAGAAGTTTCTTTTCTATACGAAAAAACCTTGAATTTTAACCTGGGGCAGGGTAGTTTTTAGTTAATCTGACTGAGTGTTCAAAATTCATGAGGAAGATGTTTTTTGAAGAGAAACTACGAGGGCTATCCTTCATGTATAATGAATCTAGAGGATGTGGAACCACAATGTTATCCCTCATTCATCAAGAAACGAGGCAATCACAATCCTCTCAACAAGCAAAGACAAGCTAATGTCACACATTTTATTCAAAAAGTCAAAAATCAAGAAAAAGAAAAGCCTGCTAAGTCAAAAAAAAAAACATGAAAACATGTGACTTAGGCAAAATTAAGGCATCCCGCTGGACTATCAATTCAAAAAATTAGTTCAGGCAAAAATTAGGGAAAATAAAAATTGCAAAGAAAGGACTACAAAGAAAAGTCCTCAGCAAAGAACAAATTGGTGACTACAAACACGAAGACATGAGGGTGGTTTCTACTCTGAAAACCTCGTCGTTTCCTTGACCGTCACAAAATCCTTTTGAGAGATGAACACTCATGTTGAATTAACTGAACATAGGGTTGGAGAACATCATGAAGGGGGTGGGCACCAAATATTTTGAGCCTTAAATCCTTTTTTCTAAAACCATGGACCAGACCACATTACAACCTTCAAAAGTCCTAATTGAAGCAAGGTTATTTTGAAAGCATACTTCAATGAGATAGTGTTCCTGACTCCCATGAATGTTCTAAATAATTATGTTGGTATCATATGTTTTTCCTACACAAAAATAAATGGTGCTCTAACTCGCAAAATTTGTGCGATATCTTTTCAAAATCTTCAAGACTTACATAACTGTTGCATTAGAATTTTCATTCTCATTGTAAACTTTTTCTAACTGCAAAACATTTGTTTGATATCAAGGAAGCTCACATAAGCACCAGTGATGAGTTTATTCTTTTAAGGCCTGAAACTATGTTGAGTAATTGACGGATCACGTCAAGGAAAAAATCATATCCAGGGGCATGTCACCTGAAGACCTTAAGCACGGATGTGTTGCTTCTCCTAATTAATGCTTTCCCAACTTGTTTACTCTTTTGGGGCAGAATTTGAAGACTTTGTTGTGCCAACTACAGTCAATCCGGGGCAATCACGTCGAGATTTGATGAATTCCTCTAAGAGTTTGAAGACACCAGAGCATGGTGAATGCCAGGTCTTTTGTAAAATCCTCTTGAGACGATTTCTCCTCATCAACCAGATAGCTTGGGGCATGTTAGAAGTGAAGCTATTCGCAAGAATTATCGTGCAACATGCAGCTTATCA